AAATTCATTAGATAAAATGCTGAGATTCATGATGAAAGGTGAAAGATTTTGTTTAAAAAGCCAAATTACTCTGACAAACAGTGATTGATGAGATATTTGCCAATGCCATCACTTAACAGCCTTTTTTGTGCAATGTAGTGTAGACTGTCACTATAGCAGATGCACTATAACGTCAGGACAAAGACCATCCGTGTCTACTTCTAATGTAAACCGATATCAAAGAACAAAAAACCAAGCATATATTAAGTTGTTATAGAGCGGTTATTTACGGTTACGGTTAACCGTTCGAACGATTACGGTTATGACCGGTTACTACGGTTATGACCGGTTACTACGGTTATGACCGGTTACTACGGTTATGACGGAACGTGTTAGGATGGAAGTTTTGAAACTATATATGGGACGTGACAAAAATTTCATCTCATTGCCAATCAGTCTGTTGTATTGTTGAATTTTTTAGAATTATTTATGAACTAACGTGAGCTCAATTACAGAAATAGACCGATCGAAAAAATAATTTTTATTTTTCTGTAAATCCTTCAAGGCCGATAACCCTGTAATTGCTTGAATCTAGACATTCAACGGTGGCGGTCACCGCAACTTCCGCTAATTTTTGAAAAAATTGAAAAATCTGCTTCCAGCTCTAACAGAAAGTTGAAACTTGTACGTTTAGGAGAAGTGTAGCTGTGATGTCAACCATCGAGGATACTCATCTTCTAAAGCCTATTACCGATGTGCAATTAGAACCTCGAAAGACGTTGATGCCAATCGGTGGATACGAAGCAATGCCTCTTTTACCAATCGAAATTGCTGTCGAAACTTTGGTGGATATTATACCTGATATACAACGTAAAACGTACATTGCAAAACTGTGTGCTCAAGATCATACGTCTACGGATTCTCTTACAATAGATGAATCTACAAGCATTATTTTATTTACGATGGAATGGAATCCAGAAAGTTTGTATTCCGCACTGAATCGGGGTCTTCGATCAGAAGATCGTCGTGCATTGAAAATTTGGTTTCCTTATTTAAAGTTATTTTTGACAACTGTGTATAAGCTGTCAGGTATCGCTCGTCACGTATGGCGCGGTGTGACACTTGACCTAAACAAAGATTACATGAAAAATCAAACTTACATTTGGTGCGGATTCTCATCGACCACGCAGTCGCTGGATGTACTTGAATCGGAAGAGTATCTCGGACGAGCAGGAACTCGTACACTATTTAATATTGATTATATGAATGCGAAGCCAATAAGAAATCATTCATTTTATCAGTCGGAAGATGAACTGATTTTGCTTTCTGCTTTTCAGTTTCAAGTAACAGGCAAATTAGATTCAGCTGATGGTTTACACATCATTGAACTGAAAGAAGTACAACCGATGTATCCTCTATTACTGTCGCCGCTTATGAATGATTAGCTACTACAGAAAACAGACACAACAAAATCCCTAGAATATACTTCTGTTCAAGTAACTTCCAACCCATAATCTTTTAATTTAAATAAAGGCTGTGGTTCAACTTTGATTCATCTTGGAAAGGGTTTGTTAAACTCCCTCAGTTATAATAAGGAGTTTCAGTTTTTGTAGCTAAAGTCGTAATAATGACACAAATATTTTAGTTAAGTTGTGTAAGCAACAGAGGTACATACTTATTTACTTATTATTAACTTCATCATCGTAAGTTTTACAATCATCGTTTACTTTCAACATGTCGATGAGTTAGATAACGCTTATAAAAAACAAGCTATTAATCTTTTATTCAGGTTACTTTCGCGTGTACAAACAAATATTTACATGTGTAAATAATCGCAATTGATTTTTCTTTTTCTAGGATGCTGATTTACTTCGTGATTATGTTGCTTATGCACGTACATTTGTTGGTCCTCAATTAACTGAAGCTAGTGGTAAACTATTGGTAAGTTCATA